AATAATAAATAATAAATAATAAATAATAAATAATAAATAATAAATAATAAATAATGAATAATAAATAATAAATAATAAATCATAAATCATAAATAATAAATCATATATCACAAATAATAATAATAATTCATAAAAAATATGAGTTAATCAAAATAGGAATTAAATTAAAATGAACTAAAAAATAAAAAATAAAACACTTTTTAGCTATTTAATATCTCAAAAGCTTTACTCTACACACACAATGCATGCAGCTGTGCGTCAACAATTCGCTGTGACTGTGACGCCCTTAGCATAGCGATAAAAATCACAGCTGAGCGCATCTCCAATGCGAAAGGCAGCATAAGCGAAGCGCTGACATCGACGGCGACGCAGCCAACGCCAACGCCAACGACAACGTCGACAACGACAACGACAACGCCAACGGCGACTGCGCATGCGTAGCGTAAAGCAGAGACATTGACAGCGCGCAGCAGCGGCAGCGGCAGCCGCAGCAGAGCCAATGGCAGCGACGCCTCGCGAGCCGCGACGTTGAATTCGATTTTAGATATAAGACGGGACTCGGAAGCGTATTTACCTTTGAGTGTTGCGCAAACGCAAAGCACGCGCCGGCCACACACTGCCCAAATCCAACTCCAACTCCATTTCCAATTCCAATTCCAATACGAATTGCAAATCCAATTTGAATCGTTCCGAATTTACCATATCAACTGTAGCTTCAGTTCCAGCTGCGCTTCCAGTTGTCGTGCTTACATTCCACTACAGTGCGTGCGTTTTCCAGTGCTTAGAAACATATTTGAAGCTCGCTTATTCCTTTTTTTTTTTTCAATATTATTTTAAAAAGTGCAAAGTGAAAAAAATTAAAAGAAAATTTGCTGCTATGAAGGTAAAGTTAAAAGAAAAAGAAATAATAAAAAAAAAACAAACAAAACAAAAATATTTTGAATCACAATTTTTACAATTCGCCAAATACGTGCGTGCGTGCCTGGAAGACCTTGAAAAAATTAATTTTTAAATTTTGTTCACATCAAAAAATAATTGTAAAAAAAAATGCATAAAATGTAAAGTGCAGAAAATATTTTGGTTTTTATTTCGTTATTTTTATATTTGTGGTGCATTTATTTTTTATTTATGTTTTTTATGTGATTTTATTTGACATTTTTTGCAATAAACATAAATTTTTGCTTAATCGAAAACAAGACAAAAATGTGAAAAAGACAAGAAATTAAATTTTACATTTTTTAAACTTTATTAAACCTATTTAAATTAAATTTTGTAATATGAACAAGAGTAATTTGAATTGTGTTTATAAATTAAAAACAATTCATAAAAGAGTTTCATAAAAATAAGAATGAAAAGCTAAAGTTTGGTTAGGTTCCACTGACCAAGGTTAAGTTTTAGCTTATAATTTCTTAAATGAGTTGTGTTCATTAAACCTATAAATTTTTATTCACATTAGTTTCTCAAATGAGTTCTAAAGAGAACTTTAATAAGTCTATATGGGGGAAGCTTAGGCTATCACTGCTTTACCATAAATTTAACAGACTTTCTAGCATGGAATTGAGCAAAGTTCGAACTTTTAACGCAATCTCTAGCATTTGCTTCCTTGAGTCTTGCTCCAATTGTGTCAGGCAATAGTACTTATATGCCAATATTTAGAAGAGAGTTCTGTCGATGTCCAAAACCAAATTTGATTCAGTTATCTTCGTAGTCAACTGCGAGCAGTATTGAGAATGCCTTCGACTGCCTTCAGTGCGGCTGTCAAAAGCGTTCAAAGTCAACACAATTGGAAAAGCACCCGAGTGGCATACTAAAGAGTCACAGCTCTGTGTGTGTTGGTGTGTGTGTGGGTGTACGTATGTGTGTGTGAGTGTGCAATGTGCAGTGTATAGAATACCGCAACACCAAGCAATGCCAAGCGATAAGCATTATCGCTTCTATTTGGGTTTACGAGTGGAAAGAATCAGTGAAAAACATTTGGGAATCTTGCCAACGGGCGTACTCGACTGTGCCATGCTCTCTTAAACTTGCTCAAGCAAACAGAGCCTATGCCTAATCTACACTTGAAAAATAAACAAGGGATATACTATATAAAATATATATAAAATTTGAAAATAGAACTAGTATGCTCTCCTTGCAGTTGATGTACAGTGTATTAAAGAGATTCAACTGATGAAATTCTTAAGAGAAATGGAATAAGATTCGAGAACTATTTTATAAAAACACATGATACTAATATACCCACTTTGAAATTTCTACAAAGTATATCCAATACACTTTCTAAGCGAAAACGAATGAGTCCACATTTCTAGATAATTCAAGTCTTAAGGTACCCAACAACAATTAGTTGCCAAAAAGCCAATACACTCGCTTTGCAATTCGAATAGAGTGTATCCGTCACCTGTGATAGTATTGTCAACTCTTTGGGCCGGGCCGGGCCGGGCTGGGGTTTAATGTGCTGCTCCAATCGCAGCAAACAGCGATTTGTGCATTTCAATGAGCTCTTAATTGTAATTAAACAAATTGTTTTTCTTTTTCTCCCTCCTTCTTTTTTTTGGCTCTGACTCAAGCGGTTTTAGCCAGAAGCCAAATCGGTAAGCAGTCAAAATAATGCTCGAATGCTCGATAATCGCATTGACTAAACGAAAACAAACGGCAAAAAAAAAAAAAAAATGAAAAGAAAAGAAAAAACAAACTCAATTTATGTACATCACGTCGCGCTCATTGTTCATGTTCCAGGGTATCTAGAGGGATATCGGGGCGCTACATTGGGCAATGCAATCGCCACCAAACGCGCCCGATTTTGGCTGAACATTTTTGAAAAGAAAGCAAAAGTTATAAATATTTCGGATTTTTTTTTTTTCACTTTACTTTTATGTTGACCTATTCGGGAAATTATTATTTAGTCATCGGCATTGCGCAAGAAAATTTATGAAATTTACATTTTACTTTCTATGTCTAGAGCCATGGAAGTACGATCCCAATCTATAGAAAATACTTTGAAATTGTCTTCGATAAACATGGAATTCAAATCAAAAAATCATCTATATTTTAGATATAGTTTTGTATTATTTTAGCTATATAATCTATGCTTAATTTTATATATATTACAGCTTCTTCTGGATGGAATCTTCAATTTACATTCAAATAATTTTGATAACACACTAAACGTATGCTAATTGGAATTCCAATCAGACGTTTACATATGTAAACAGCGAATCAGACAACTTTCAGTTAGACTAATTGGCGAAAAGAGCGTTGAACTTGGCAAGCCATGGAAAATTATGAATCTGTAAATAGCTGATCATGTTTACTGCCCATTCTGTTATACACAGATATAACAGTCTCATTGAATCGCAATGTCAGCGTTATCTTTAGCATACATGAATGTTATAACATGTATAACAGTTTTATGAAATTTATACACTTAGTCCAGCTCAATTAAAATGTGTTGGGCATTCTTTAGTGGACAAAATTTGGTATAACACTTACTGTTATACATGTGTATAACAGTTTCTACTTTTGACAATTTACTTCGCTGACATTCTTGCTGCAAATCTTAAGTCATGAGTCAGTAAAATAACTTAAATGCTGTTATACAAACGTATAACAGATTTATGGCGTTGGCATATGTCTGCTAAGAATAGCACTCGATCAACTTAGAGTGGATAAAGCTTAATGAATGACTAGTCCAGTTAGTTGGATCATCTAGACGAGTTGGATCTCTCTCTCTCTCTCTCTCTCTCTCTCCTTCTCTCTCTCTCTCTTTCTCTCTCTCTCTCTTCCGCTTAGCCACATTCGCTTGACCTTGACCACATAATCCGAGCGTTAAAATCGCAGTGTCAGTTATCATCTTGCTGCATCTCATTTAAAAGGCGTCTCTCATGCTCCGCTTATATAAGTACTGTATACATACATATACATATGTGTGTGTGTGTGTGTGTACTTTGATTTTAAATACCGGACAGGACGCCAGAGTTAAGCAAGGGTCATCAATTGTGGTTAACAACAACAGCGACAGTAAATGCAACAACTTGTTTCTGATTTAAAGCTGATATTGTTCCCACGCTAACAGCTGGCGCTTCTGCTTCATCATCATCTGGACAGGGCTAAGCTGCAGTCAAAAGCTATTTACCAGATATATGTATATATATTCTAATTTTCTAATTGTTGCAATTGTTAAAAACTTTTATTTATTAGCGGTTTTGGGCCAAAAGTAAAAACAAGTAAAAATTAATTCGATGCTAAATGTATTCCAATTGGCACATTGACACATTTTTTTTGCCTTGAACAACATGTTTGTACACACATATCGTAGTGGTTGAGGGATTGTTAGGTTTTTAGATCAAGCGATCGATCGTTGGACCGATCGATCGATCCATTTGACAATCGATGTCAGCGGCATTTGTCAGACCGTTCGATTTCATTATAAAATTTACGCATGTTTGATGGATATGCCACAGCACAGCATATAGCAGCAGTTCGTGTGTGTAACCACCGAATATTACGTGATTCGCATAGCAGATATACTCACACATACACATATGCATATATCTAGATACATATATGCACACAGTCAATGGCCAAGCGGGCGACAAGAAACTCTTCGAATTCCATTCGAACTGCAAGTTGTTGATAAAGGCTCAAGAAATTTATAGTCTGGGACTATTCTCAATGTCCTCTATAAGACACTTAAGTCTATAGATCTGTCTTCTATTTTACATTCAATATAAAAACTATTTGAAGACAATATTAATAATGCATCCCTATGGAAGGATAAGATTTACTTCAATAAAGTATGATTGTCAAGTCATCGATAGATAATGACAGCTGTTCACATATATCGATCTACAATTATAGATATATTTGCAAATTTATTATATTAAGAATCTATTATGAACTGATCTACATTACCTTAAAACTTTAAATAGATCTAAAGCCCATCAATATGTTATTGATTATACAAGAGATCAACTTCCATGCTTATCGATAAATATATAGATAGTCAACAATGATAAAAAATCGTTTGTTGAGCAAAGTTCCAATGAACCAGAAATTAATCCTTAATGCAAGTTATATACATAGATCAACATAAATCTCGAGCCCTGTTGCCACCTTTAGCTGCTTTTAGGTAGAAGATGCTTAAAAAAATAGCAGAAAATGTGTGCAAAAATTCGAATAAAAATTCCAGAACTCCCACTGTCCGCTGTTTTCGATTTTTCCCGCAATTGACTTTTCAAAAATGACAGATTTAATGAGAAAAAAGTTGATTTGGCAGCACTGATCTCGAGATATGTGCAATATATTACACTTACTTCGTCTTTAACAGTTGAACGAACGTGTTAAATCAAGCCTATTTTGATGGACATTTACAGTCGCAGCTGAATTATTTACTACCAATTTATTAATGAGCTCATCAGGTCCATTAGTCGCATTAATAGGGCTCCATCTATATGTATATATAGATATTGTATGCAAATTTATCTTTATTTTTGATCAGTTGTTTATCTCGTTTCTTTCGTTGTTCGTTTGTTGTTGTTGTTGTTGTTGTTGTTGTTGTTGGCTTTGTTCCAGTTGTTGATCTGTGCCAATTCTTGAGTGGAACGTGGGCGTCTTTCTCTTTTCTAACCATTTGATGTTGACCTATCCAGAACCAATCCCATTTAAAAACGTAAGCGATTCCAATTAGTGAAACACCTTAATTAATTCGCTCGGCTCTACGACAAAGAAATTTTGATAACAAACACGAACATAGCAAATGGCAGAAAAAACAAATCCCCCATAAAAAAATAAATAAATAAAAATAAAAATAAAATACAAAACTGATTCCGTATTTCAATTTGTAATTCAATTTCGACCTCGAAAACAAAATTTATATATAAATAAATTGGTTTCCCTAAAAAAAAAAAAGAAAAGAAAACGCCAACAATTTGTCAAACATAAATAAAAATCGTGACTAGTCCAAAAGTTTCAATCATGCGTAATGGCAATGGTAATTATACGATTTTTATGGATTTTATGTGGCTTTTGTTTTTTTTTTTTTTTTTTTTTTTTTTTTTTTTTTTTTTTTTTTTTTTTTT